CCCTGCTTGCCGGTGACGCTGCCGTCGCCGGTGAGCGACGAACTCGACACCGTCCCCGAGGCGCTGAAGCTCTCCTTCGGCTTGGTGAAGTCGAGGGTCACGGCCCGCGGAACCGCGGGGGGCTGCGGGAGGGGCACCGGCGCCGGCGCAGGAGGAGCGGGCGCGTGGTGGTAGAGCGCCGCTGGCACCAAGGCCGGGTCCTCCTCTACCGGGGGTACGAAGGCGGGCTGGGCCGGGCCGCGGCGGAAGCGGGCGTGGCCGGTCCGGTTCAGGACGGAGATGACCTTCTTAAACTTGGCGATGGTATGGTCAGTGACCTCGCGGCAGTCCGACGGCGACTGCTGGTGCGAGAGCTGGAAGACGAGGCGCTCCAGGGTGCGAAGCCCCACGTCGGCCGCCTCCCGGACCGCGATCTGGTCGTCCATCCTCCGGTAGCCCATCGAATCGACGGCCATCAGGGATCCCCCAAGATTCGTGCAATCACCGCAGAAGCTTCAGATCCAACCGACCTTAGAATACCTCCAAGTAGAAGAGGAAGAAGAAGATGAAGAAGAAGAAGCGATTAAGTCTTTCGAAAGCAAAGGATAGAAAAGGATTTATAATGCCGAGAGAGCGGCGATGGTCACCGGTAAACCGGCTCAATAAGGAATACGCGCAACCGTGTGTTCGGATCCGACGGTCCACGTTCGATGGAGATATAGATCAGACGCTCCCTCTCGAAGTTGAACCGGCCAATGGGTGGACTTTCTGGAGGCGACCCGGTAAACAAGAACGCAGAAATGGAAACATCGTGCTCTGGCTCACAAGTCAACCCTTTGAACGATTCATCGTGGACTTTGAACGCTCGTTGAAATGAAAACATGCATGCTATTAACCTTCTTTTTATTGGGTCAGCCAGATAATTAATTCCAACCTGGGGATTAATGGATTAAACTTTGGTTTGACCCTGGTAACCGGAAGCTGCCGGTGGTCTATAGGAGCCGTTGGATCAATGGGGGAGGCATCGGACGGTGCAAGGAGCGGGAAGGGGTTGACCGGAAGAGAGGTTTCCTCGAAAAGGGGCGTGGCAGCGGGGCCCACGTGTCCCGTCGTCGCCCGCGGGGCTGACGCGTGGAGGGAATCGTTAAAGCTGACTCCTTTGGCCGGTTCGTTTACTTGGTCAGGAAGGAAGCAGCGATGCAGAAGCGGGAAGTCAAACGAGGAACAGCACCTCGACGGCGCGGTGACGTGAGAAAGCCGGTCGTCGGATCCGCGCATCAACCTCCGGGATTCGTGTCCGCGTTGTGCGCCGTCGGATGATTCCCAGGTGTGGGTCCCACGCGCCGAATAGGATGAGGTTATGCACGTCTGTGGTGGGTGCAAACGACGGGTAGGTCCAAATGGAGGGTGGCCCACATGGGCCGAGTCCATTAATTTGTCAGGTGTTGGGTTGGCCCACACGGGTCGTGTTTCCTTAACATCATCTCGCGGCCATGATGATGAGCTCAACTCGCAGGGTTGCTCGGAGCTGTTTCCTCACCGGAGAATGGGGATCTGTGCGCACCACTTGCGCTGCTTTTAGCAGAACGGAAGCCATAATTGTGGATCATATGATCTCTTCTTCCTCCTCTCGCTTTCCGCACAGATGGTAACATGTCACCTACTTGGAAATCGCGAGTGTTCTCGAGTAGGGTTTACGTGTTTCCATGCATGAAGACATATTTAACTGAAACGAGACCTTCACAAGGAAGAAGAAAGAAGAAAACTGCTGGTTACAAGATTTCTAAGCTTCGGATGAGGTTTATCCCGCTGTTGTGGCATGCAATGGTGCAGTTTCCTTGGTAGAGGGTTGGAGTGAGAGAAGAAGATCCTAACCAGAAATGGAGTTCTTTGATCATCTAAGCAGTGAGTAACCTACCGAATCCTGCTTCACAAGTGCCATATGGCTCATCAACCAAATCCTACGATTTCCAAGTTCATGAAGATTCCACATCTTTTGGCATAATGCTCAAGTGTATGAAGAGGAGGAGATTGGAGTAGATGTCATGCAGTGAGTTCCAGTGTCAATGTATCACTACTGTTTCTTTCTTTTCCATCTTTTCTTTGTTCCATGTGGATGATGATGTTGAGCATGTGAAGCTACTCACCTTACTGCAGTATGAGTTGAGTCCTCAACTGTTAAATCAAAAGCAAAAGTGAGGGAGGTTGCCTTCTTGATTTCCTTTTGCAATCTCTCTCTCTCTCTTCATACTTTTTAGGTGATGAGAGAAGAAGAGAAGTCTAAACTAGTTTTATGTTCTTGTATTCTGTTGAATACTTTAACATGAAACTACTGCACCTCATTTTTCTTGTCTATGAATCTGATTCTTTGACTGACAACCTATGTTCTTGGAACTAATCCTCTGAAAGGATCTTGTGTTGTGTTCTTCTTAGATAATGAATCTTTATTGAGGTTTCATGAATCTTACTTTAATTGTACTTTCTTTTGATTAATATCACCTGAGTGTAGCCTTTGTTGTCTCACTACACTTTCTACTTTCATAGGCTTCCTTTTCTTGTAACACACTCCTCTCTTGATTCCTGACAGTTAATTGTGCAGTGTAATCTGAGTCTTCTTTGCCTTCTGATAGTGTTATTACAGAAATTATATCAGCTTAGTTTCCATTTGATTGCAGGATGTCATCCCTTCTCTAAAATACTTGACAGGCTACAATCTTAGTGGAGTTTATCAATCTTAAAGGAGCCATTGCTTGCTCCTTAATTTTCATATGATATAATCACATAAAAGAGCTCTGTTTTGTTAGTTTAATTATATTTAGAGGATTTCATGTCTGTGGGAATAGTCCTTTCTTTCTGTATACTCCAACAATTCCAACTTCTTACAGTAGAATTCATTTGGCCCTGACAAAATTTGACCAAAGCAGTCCCTTTTGTTCCTATGATCTCTCATTCTCTTTTTCTCTTCCTTTATGTTTTAGTCTGTGGAGTAGTGGGGAAGACCACAAAGGTAAGCAGTCATTGCTATGACCCAAACATATTCTCCAATACTTGAACTTGCAGGAACAAACAAGTTTAATTGCCAGCAGAAAGGAGAAGATGGGAAAGCTATTATCTTCCTCAACAACTAAAATATATGCAATGAAGAAGAAGCCTGTCACCAATTAGATTTACTTCCTTCATGCCTTCTTCCCCTTCACCACTTTTCTCAACATCAAAAGAAATCTAAATATTAGTAGGAATATCAAGTGCCCTCTGCAGTAATCAACCATTACACATCAAATTTATTCTGCATTGAGATCACATGAGTCTCAAATGATATGGTAAACTCACTTATGCTGGCATTGTGACTGTAGAGGAAATAAGGTTTAATTATATTAAGCTTAGAAGGAAGTAAACACCTTTAGATCCAGCAAATGCCATGTGAAAGTGAACAGCTTTTGCTTTTGGCATCAATCTCCTGCTGCTTGCTGAATTCCTTGGCCTTTCTGAGAGAATGAGCTGAATCACTCTCTCTCTCTCTCTCTCTCTCTCAATGAGTATTTTTCTTCTTTACGCTACCTCACCATATAATTCTGTTCCCTTCTTTTCACATCTCCCATTGCCAAAGCCAATGATCACCCATGCTTGCTCGCGTTCTCCACCTTGAGCTACTGCTGTGGTGGCCATCTTCTTTACGTGCCCACCACCTCCTTATATTCACGCCTTGAGTTCCCCATAGCCGTAAGACTGTCCTACGTTACATCACAGGCATCGAGCGATGGGGTTCGAGCTCGTAGATCGGGAAACGCGAAGCCTCCCACCAATTCAGACTCCCGGGATCGGTGTCAAGCCAACAACGACGTCAGAAAGCTCCTCCAAGTCGGCGAGCGACGAAGAGGGAGAGTGCGTTACTCCGAGGTCGTCGGGGCAGCCTGCAGTCAAGCAAGCATTGATGTTGGTGTGCCCGCCGCCTCCGCCGAGGAAGCCTCGGCCTGTGAAGAGGAGATTAGCCCCTCCACCGGACGGATATTACCCGGTGCCGAGCGATCTCGCCTCCATCTTTGTCCCGCGGCCGATGAACAAGAAAATTCGAGTAGGTTGATTGAATTCTCCTCGTTGATGTCTCGTCTTCCCCACGAGCATGGAAGCCATGAGAGGTGATACTGTTTTAGTTCTTTTTGTTCATCTTCTTCTGTGTGAAGGTAATACAACTGAGGATTGAATGTGAATTGGAGTTTTGAGATCTCTTCTACAATAAATCTTAAATTTTTGTGATAATTCATAGCTCATAGATTTATATGCTCTCTTCTATGTCAGCTGCACAATCAACAGCTGATCTGCTCACTGTTCTTCACTGTTGGGTCTCCATTGCCCCCATTTTGTTTGCAACAGATCAACTTGGCATGCTAACTAGTAATATATTCCAGTAAAATCATAGCCTAAACAGGTTGCTCTCATGATTAAGGTTTACAGATCTCAGGCATGGAAGTTTCAGATGGTGTTGGCAGGTGTAATTGTTCATGCGAAGTTGGTAAAAGCATTCATTTGAAGATGTATGATTTGTCTGCAAGGGGGTCATCAATCTCATCCATGCAAATGAAGTGTGATCTGATGCATCTCTGCAGTTGTTCTTTTGGTTGTAACTCCATCACTCTTAACTTAGATTACAAGCGAAGGCATCTCTCACTAATTTCAACTTCCTGACCCACAAACCTTTTTAATAAGCATGATCATAATTCGATTCGACCAAATCAAATCAGAACCGATGTTGATCGAGTCGGTTCTTTACCATTGAAGTAAGCTCAGCATGGCTTCTGCAAGCACAAGATTTGTTTACACTCAACAAAATGAAGACAGAGAGAGTTACACCCTCACAATACCATATTTATGCATGATGATTCCTATAAGATTCAGGATTAAGTATATATACTTTTCACATGCACTATCAATTGATAATTTGCAAATATGTTTAGTAAAAGACAGGCATCTATTCTTTTGGGTGGTTTTACATCCACCCTCATTACAAATTACTTTGCATCCTCATATAAGAATATCTTTGTATATGTTCTCGATTTATCCAATCATTTATGCATTATTTTACATACACAACTTTGATTATGGACACAACAATTGGTTCTCCTGAACAACATGGATATAAAATAGAACACTATCTCTAACATCAAACAAAAAAGAGGTACCCCTGATCACAATCAGCACTGCAGCTGTGAAAAGAGCTTTCTCAAGAACATTCGGCCTCCCCAAAGCAGCTTTTCAATCAGCAGGCGAACATCTACATCTGTTTTCTCGTCTCGGCATGCACATAAGCTTTCTTGATACGAATCATGATGGGTAACAACGGCTATGACGACAAACCGTCGTCTATGTAAAGAAATGTGGATGTTGTTTGAGGACAAGAGTCGCGTAGATCAACTCGTTCCATGAGTCAGGAATCCCAGGAAGACACCAATGGCTGCAGTCCTGCCGCCTCTTGGACACCTTTGCCCCATCAGTCAGCTTCTTGCCATAAATCGAAGGGTGCCCATCCTTACGGTAGTTGGTCAGCTTTGTCACGTTCAAGAGAACAACCGGAACATGCATTCTACTAATAACTTTATCTACTATGTTCATCTTCAATGGATAATTATCTAGAAATGCACCGCTTCTGATAGGATCTGTCTCTCCATTGCATGTGCCACCAGAGTCCCAGTCTCCGCCTCTGAGAAAAGACAGGTTGATAGGAGCTTATACTTGAAAATGGAGTGTTCTAATGCAAAATATATTAAGATAAAAGAAAAGAAAGTGCTATTTCTAATATATAGGCCAGAAGTTAAGCACCTAAAATGAGCAGCAGAGTAACCACGGTAAATGATTAATTTAGATCGGTCAACATTGTTGTCAATCCATCTTCCCCAAGTCTTGATGGCTTTCCTATATGCTTTGGTTGCATCAAATTGTGGATAAAGAACATTACCTTCTTTATAGTAATTCTTCCTGGTCAATCAAAAATATTAATTTACCAAATGTACGCCATGAGAGCAGCAGTAAAACTGGCTACTTTGAATAAAACAACTTGACACATCAATAAAAGATAAATAGAATCAAAGGCACGGATTTACCCTCTTGCTGTCTTCCCATGGGTCCACCAATGACCAGTGTTAAAGACAAGAATGTTGGCTCTTTTCCAACGTTTGGCTGACTTGTCGATTCGATCTATCATAAGAATTGGGTTTGAATTACCCTGTCGATTGACTCGTATTCCTTCTCTAACAAGAAAATGGGATCGAACAAACTCCACTGTACAATCATAGTCCTGCAAAGAACTGCATATTAGAAATAATTTACAGTCCTTTGTTGACTAACTTTTAGGTCTTAAGAATAAAAGTGAAATTAACCATCCAAATTATCAATTTAAACATTAGTTGACACAAAATTGAATATATAAAAGCATCGTGCATAAGATGTAATATATAGACTTTCTAGAGACTTGAAAGTGATCTATGACATTGGAAGATGGATCAACATAATGCAGCATATAAATGAAAGCAGAAGAGAAGTTGGCATACCACAAATTTGAAAATAAAGTAGCCACGTCCTTTGGTTATTTTATAACCTCGGGTCTCGTACATTTTGCTCTTATCAGGCAGCGCTTCTCGCAAGAGACACAGCATCGATTCAAACTGGTTTCGGTTCATGGAATCTCCAACAAACATCAACCTTTTACCTCGAATTCTCTCCAAAAAGTCTGTTCCATTAAACCTATGAATAAAGTAAAAGGACAATGGGAAAAGAAGAAACTGCTTATGAAAAGAACCACAATAATGGAAATCCTTCTACTGGAGGGTTGTGAATATTGAAGAGGAAATAAAACTATAATGTTGAACTTAGAATTTTAATAGTTTACACTTACATGGCACAAGAACATAAAAGGCATAAGATGAAAAAGGACAAAAAAGAAGAAAAATGAAAGAGAATGAACTATTAATGACGGATAAAGAAGTCATTCCTTTCTTCATATAGACCTAGGATACATCAATAGAGTGGCTAAATTATATCTGCTAAACAAAAGGGAAATAAGGTCAGAGTCATATCAATCTCGAAGAGTAAGTGTTTCCAGATTGGTTTGTCTAAAGAAGCGTAAGAAACAATATAGAATATTTGGATTCCTTTTGACTTCAGAAAATACTTCTAAGCTTGTCAGGTATCTATTTAAGTAGGATATTTAATTTTCTTTCCAGGCTCTGACTTAATTTGTCAGTATCGATTTTTTCTGCTCTATGTTAAAATTTGATAGAGTGTCTTCCATGTCAGCTTCAGATTTTACTCCTCTATATCAAAAGCTTTTAAGTTCCAACATAATTTTCACCATTCATCTCGTCAAGATCTTCTCAGCCGTGATTCTGTTTTTTTTCAAATGACTACTTTGGCATGTCCTCGTCTATATATATATATTTTTTTCTCTCATGGATCAGAGTAAGTCATTTAGTAGTTATGACAGTTCCACCCAAAATATTCTCCCAGAATTTGATCAACAAGTTGAACCAGTGATGCAGCAAAACTCTCAAAAAGGTGAAGAAATGTGTTTTAAAACAGTATATTGTCAAGAATATAAAATTATAGATGAAGTCTCATCTAAAGGATTAAGCTTTTAGATGCAATAACATTGATAAAAAATTATCATGGTGCTAGAGCAAAAGATCCAATGGTCTTGCCACATGTTGGGTTTATGCAATCGGCCCTCCACACGGTAGGGGAAGTGTTAAGATTCTTTCTCCCATCTGTGCTTACAGAAAAAAAGACCCAAAAGGAGGCCTTTTAGGAAAGGACCAAGATCATCTCCATTTAAGATCCATCTGTCAATAGGAGCAGGACCCCTGCATTGATGTGTGAATGTGGAAGAACCTCAATCTAAAAAATTCAGGTGAAAATTTCACATCATGTGAATATGATTACTTAGTTTAGCAACAGCTTCATACTATTTCCAATGGCCAAAACAACAAAATATTAGGGGAAAAGAAAGAGGAGCAAAGATGAAATTTTGGAATATGTGGCCTTTAGAAAACCCTCTAATAATTCGAAAAAGATGACATGTTTCAATATTTCCGACATTTTGCTATCATATATTTGTAATCTTAGGAAGTTTGGCTACCAAACTCGAGTAAATGCGAAGAAAATGATCAGAAAAAGAAGCAAGAAGACGGTGTGGATGGCACCTCGGAAGGTCACAGCCGTCAGGCTTCCACCTCCATCTCAAGTACCCGCGATCCTGCCTGCCGTTCTCGTGGCAGCTGTAGGCCTCGTCCACGTACGGGCAAGAACCTGGCTGGTAGAGCGGGTACTGCCCCTCCTCGTCTCTCTCCCATCTCCCTTGGTAAAGATCGCACCTCTCTTCACGCGTCCTGGCTTCTTCCGCCTCGGGAGGCGGCTCCACCGCGGCTTCGGGTGACGGGAAGATTTCCGCCTCGGAAAGCGGCTTATCCGCGGGCACCTGCGCCAAGCTCGCGGCTTTCGATCGCGGACGGGGAGGGGACGGGGAGATTGAGAGGTCGGAGACGAGGGAAAGGGGGGACTTGAGGGCGCGCTGGGGGGCGATAACGAGGAGGAAGATGGAGAGGAGCGCAGCAGCGGAGGAGGCGGCGGCAACGGCGACGTTGCGGCGGCGCTTGGCATGGGAGAGAAGGGAAGATGAGGAGGAGGACGAGGACGAGGAGGGAGCCATCGGCGGCGACGGGAGGAGAAGCGCATGCTGGTTCGTCTCTTTTGTGTGGAGAGGAGGAAAGGGGGCGGAAAGGAAAGCGGTGACCCGACCCTTCCGGACCCTATCTCTTAGCGCTTTCGGACAGGAGGTAGAACGAAGCGAGTCGGTGACCGGATCTCCCGCCGGTCTTCCTATTATTTTCTTGCAACAATGTTTTTGTTAATAAAAACACTTTTGGACCGAAGCACTTGTAAGCGAAAACTGCTGCGAAAATTCGGAAAACATGTGTTGTCTGAAGGCTTCAGAACGTTAGAACTCGTGTGACACAGAATCCAACGGCATATCTAATAGTCAAACACGCGGTGCACAAGTCAACATAGTGAGTCAAGTCAACGTGAGGGAAAACCTAGTTGATTCATAGTAGTTCTTTTGGATCTTTGTGTACATCTTATGGGAGCCGATATGATCACAAGGCTCATGTGATTCTATTTTTAATATACATAAATAATAATAATAATTTTATTTTTTTAAATCAAACTAAATCATAATGGAGATATTTTATTAATATCAACATCATATACACATTAAAAGGACATCAGCTCATCTCATATTAAGTAGGAGGATAATGCTCAACCAATTCCAAAGGAAGAAGAAGAGAACAGAAGAGGCAATAAAATTATTAGAGAGAGAGAGAGGAGGAGAAGAGGAAGAGCAAGGAGAGATATATAGACTGAAAAAGTCATAGTTTGCATCCTCTTTCTCTCTCTTGATTTTTTTACTCTCCCTTGTCAATTCAAAAAAAGAAATCAAACCCTTAAAAGGATCTTTTTATGAAAGGTCATTCCAAAAAGGAAAAGTTATGGATGATGAAGAAATCAAACCCCTTAGACACTATAGTTCATATCTATCTGCCATAATCCTTTGAGCTATATGCTCCAACTATTTCATTATATTCGTTTTCTTTTGAGTATCCTCAAAAAGAAATATTTCCTTTTCTCAATTATTTCGATTGTTTCTATCTATTTATAAGGAATACAACAGTACATTCTAAGGTATAAAATGATAAAAAAGAGATGAAATAATTGGAGTTTTGAATAACACAACATTTGATTTTTTTAAATCTCTTTCATATTTTTAAATAAAAAAATGCATTAAGCATTTTATCATTTATCGGTGTTGCTTCGCTTTATTCCTATAATTTCATCGTCACATTAGTAGCAAGAAGATGACGGAAGGAAGGACGAGAGAAAAAAAAAAGTGTTAGATTAACTCAACGATACTTATAATTTTAAAAATTAATGTATGTAAAAAAAAAGTGTTGAATCACTTAGATCAAGCTCACTATTTTTTAATTAATTATTATTTTTTTATGACCTATTTTACCCTCCCAAGCGAAGCGACTAGATTCCAAAAATTCGAGAGGTACTTAAAGAGTCAATAAAGATATCATCGTTTACTTCCATATGTTTTATAGTGAAATCCTTATTCGACAAAACTTGAGGGGATGAACATCTTTTTTACGTACGTAAAAGACTCTCAAATCATTTTTTTAATCCCTTCCAATAATGTCAAAAAATATATTTGTTAATAATTTTTTTTAGCCTTCAATGTATTTTTGATATGCTTATCTCTTTTTTTTTTATTTTTATATTTCTTACGTGGAAAATCAATGTATCGATTGGTAGACAAAAATATGCTTATTCAAGCATATCTGTCTTTGCCGGATTTCCTCTCCTATATTTTGAGTGCTGATGCTATAAACATCGATCGTATTAGGTATTTGAATTAATAAATCAATTTTATTTTGAAAAATATTTTCTAAAATTAGATAGGACGAGTGAAAAAATAATTAAAGAAATACTTCGGAGTTTTCTTTCTTTTCTCTTTTTTGGGGATATTCAACCGACCACAAGCGACATGAATAATCCAGCGAGGCTGCCGTACGACGTGTCGTCTTGTTGGGGTAAACACGTCGCTGGCGGTCCCTACCTAGGTAACCTGCTCGGAAGCTACACGTGGTCAGACGGCTGTCGTGGACGGAACAGCTGATTGGGATTTGGCGTGTCCCTCTCGTAATCCGGTCTCGCCGGAGCCCGAGCGGGTCCGACCGGACCGCCTCGCTCTCGGCGTTCCCGATCGGGCACCAACCACGAGGCATCTGATTCCTCGAACCAAATGGAGATGCCGTGCATGCATCCTCCCGAACCGACGGTCCGGGACCTGCCACGTAAGATCTCAGACGGAGTCGAACAGCGCACACGCGTTGCGGGCCCCACTCTCGAAGCGATTAATCATGGTGCCTGTGTGACCTCTGGAACAGACACGGACGGAAACCGTGTACCGATGAAGGTACCGACTTGTTGACTGGTCGATGGTGTGGGAGCCACAGTAGAGCCGTTCGTAACTCGGGTAATACGTCTGGGTAATTTAATATTTTATTACTTACGGCGATGCTTTTGGGATCCAAATAGTGACAGGCACGCCTTCCCCTATCATTCTCTCTCTCCCTTAGTATTATTTTGGGCTGTTTGGTGGCGACTATTTCTCTTTCGACAACGGTGGCCTTGGAGATCGATCGAGCTGCTCGGTAGGGTTCGCTTCGTGCCTCCCTGTCCGATCCTCGAGTCGGTCGCGCCGTTCGCTTTGAACGAGCAAAGGTGCGGTTTTTCTTCCCTTTTTATTCTTTGCCCTACCACTTGCCCCTTCGCTCAATGGTTGTCGATAGGTGGTGGCGTCATCGCTTCTTGCTTTGAGTAATCAAAGGTGCGATTTTTCTCTGATTTTTTGCCCTACTCCGACACTTCTGCTGTTCTAGATGGGTCGTGCCGTCGCGCCCCTGATTCGGGAGAAAGCGACGGAATTATATAATTTTTCTGATCGTTCCCGAGGTCTTCTCCCGGCTCAGGGGCCGATCTGGTTTCTGAATTGATCTCTGTGCTTGTTTATTGGGTATGGCGATGGCAAGTCGTGAGGCTCCGTCTAAGGTGAAGAGGCGGATTGGTTTTTATCTCTTATCGCATGTTTGGATGTTCTTTCTGCGTGCGTGATTGTGTTTGAGAGTGCTGGGGTTGGAATTCGCTTCAATTCTTCTGATAAAGTATCGTCTTTCGAGCCACTTGGCTCGTATTTTGACACAAGACGCGTCTGAAACTTGTTCTTGCGAGTTTTGTGTTGTTTGCGATCTGGAAGTTCTTGAATTCTATTGGTTTCTGAAATTTCAGATGATCGATTGTTTGATGGCTTGGTGATTGATTTGGTCTATAGGGTTGCTCTTAAGATTATTGAATCTGTCCGAGTCCATCTTTCTGTATGATCCTCCTGAAGTTTTGACGCTGGCGCAATCTGAAGTCTGTAATGTTATGATGTTATCTATATCTCATCTGTTTGTGTTTGTGTGATTCCAATGCACGTTACAACGAGTCATTGTTGGGTCTCCAAGGAATTTGCATTTTTTCTAAAGAATTATTTCTTTAAATATGAGTGCTCTGGAGGTTTTAACTTGGAATTTTTTACGATAATCTCCAATTGCATGATGAACAAATATTGCCCATCATGTTGCTGATGTATGTTCTTTATTGATTCCCTACATGTACATGGTCTGACATGTTTAGACGTGACATTCATTATTCTCTTCTTTTACTTTCTTCCGTTGGTCTGCTTGTTTGAATTAGTGTATTTTTGTGGTGGACCTTATGACTTAAAAGTGCAGTGCTGAATTGCAATCATTCTTGGTGAATACTTCTCATTAAAGACTGTTTTTCTTGTTATAAAGTTTCCAACCAGTTGTCATGAATGTTGTTGTGTACATAACTTCATTTTGACATATAACTTCATGAAAATGCTTGATCAATTTGCATATTTGATGGGAAAACAGTTTTTTTGACAGAGCAAGCTTATTACAGATCTTTGTATCTCTTTACCTTTTACTGTGGTGTCGATTTTTAGTTATGCATTATATTTTGATGCTAACTATTTTCTTATAACATGTTGTCCGAAAAAAAAGAAAGGATCCTCTTTTCTCTTTTAAGTGCATGTAATACTGATTTTCAGAGAAATGAAAACTTCTGAGGAAACTACCATATATTTTTTAAAATCATATACAGATTTGGAAAGTGATGCACATTGGAAATTTGTTTGAGATGATTATTCGCTGAGAATATATATAGTTACTCATCATGTTGTCTAGTTAGCAAGTGTGATAAGTTAGATTGCTTGATTTGCTTTGGGCTAATGCCTATCTCTGATTGTCTTTATGCAGAATCCTGCTGCTGTTGACTCGAAGCCGAAACCATTAGATAGCACTTCTAGTATGGCTGTCTCCATGAAGAATGTTGATTCAGTTTTTCAAGGAGCTGGCCAAAAGGCGTATCCTCACAATAGCTTCCTTTTATCGTACTTAATTCTCTGTTGGTTCACCTTCCAATTTTGTTGTTGTTTAATCTGAGATATGTAAGGATATCGTAATAATTAACAAAATAGAAGAGTTGGTATTATCAACATCTATGATTAAGATTACCCAAAAACCTGGAAGAAATCATAAGAGAAATGTAGTTAACATGGTCCAAAAATCTGAGAGCAGACTAACTTGTTTGATGAGACTTAATTTATAAAATGATGGAACTTTCTTAAATGTCTCGCGTCCATCTGATTGTATAATTGAACATGAATTTAATCAAAGTTGTACCCTAAAGTTTTTTTGCATTGGATTATCATCAATAGTGGTTTGAATCGACTTTGGCCTTTGATCTTGTACCCTAAATTTAGGATACAAGTAAATGAAAAGGTTGTGGAATTCTAGGCTCTTTTTTCAATGCTTGATGCCATGTTGAGATGGAAACTGGATAGGTTAATTGTTGACTTGCCTGAAAATAAAATTGTACAACATTTTGGAGGAAGCAGATCAAATATATGGTCTGAAGAGTGGTAAGATTGTGTAGAATAACTAATGCAGTGGAAAAGCATTTGCAGTTCTCATCAAGTGGATCCTGAACCTGGAGACTTTTAAGGCTGAGTCCAGATTAAAGCTGTTCTAGTGCACATTTTTCAGCAAGATAATCTTAAAAACGGTATAGCTAAATAGTAGTATGTTGTACCCTGCAGGTAAAGGTGGTATATGTTATTGAAAATTTGTCTATTTGTTGCTGTTATTAGCCTTCGATGGTTCTTCACATGGTGTTATGTACTGGCTTTTTATTTCCTTAACAACAAACAGTGGATTGGAGATATGGCGAATCGAGAATTTTTGCCCAGTCCCTGTACCAAGTTCTTCCCATGGAAAATTCTTTACTGGAGATTCATACATCATTTTAAAGGTTATTTATTAGTCTTTTCTAGAAATGCTGACCCTGTCGTTTATTTGTTGCCAGTATTTTTCTGTAGATTCATGAGAATGAACTTAGACTATCATCTGAGATCATGCTTGTACACTCTAAGGTTTTTTTCTCTCTAGAAAAGAAACAGTTAAGGCAAGTTGGAGAAGATGGGGTTAAAAAAAAATTTAATTTATTAAGTTTGTGACTATATTAAAAAATAGCATGAGAGAATGCAATATGCCATTCTCATTAAGTTGTATATATGTACTTTTGTTCATTTAGTCTGCAGTTGTTCCATTCAGTATTTTTCAATTTTGTGGATAAAGTAACATGATTTTGGTGCAGCTCATAGGAGGAATTTTACTGTTAACTGTCAAGTCATGGTGTCTCCTCTTTCCTTGGTCTTTGCAATTTCTTCAATCTATTATGCTGTAAGGTCAATAATTTGAGAATAATTACTGAACATGCCTCATGCCAATAGGAACGATGTCTGGTCAAGATTTTTTGAATATCTGAATATACTTGAGCAGCTTAAACTGGGTTTGGGTTCCCTTTAATCAGGTTTGTGATGAGTTTGACTAGAAAAATCGGTACAGAGACAGGTTTGGATTCAAATAGATGAAATTCATGGGTCCAGTGCTGTAGGCATTCCTAATATTTTATGGTAATGACAGCACATTGGATTTTTGGTAGTCATCTTACAAACACTCTTAAGCCCTGTGGGTTGGTACTTCAGGTAATTGAGTCTACCTGAGCCTGTTTAAATCATGTTCGGCTACCTTTTAATTGGGTTTGGTTTGAGTTCAGTAGTCTACTAGGTGACAAAAGTCGGGTTTGAGGTTGGTTTTGGGTTTGGGATGCCTAGGTAGTTAGTCAAATTGGGTGAAATTTGTGAGTATCCTACCTGTTGTCAATTTACCCCATGCTTAATAGTGTCTTCTTCAGGATGTAAAGTTCAAAAATTCTCTTTGATCTCAAGGAACTAGACATATTATTACATATATTGTTTTTCCACTTTGCGATTCTATATTTACTTTTTCCAAACTGTTACATTTTGTGAGATCAGTGTTTGTCAAATGTTGAAGCTATTGAATCTTTGTTCTTTGCACAGACAACTGCCTTAAAAAGTGGTGCCCTTCGTCATGATATCCACTATTGGCTTGGTAAAGATACTAGTCAGGTCAGATGGAAGTCCATACATTCAATATATTGTTGCTTGAACTACTACTTTTTGAAGAATAATGTTGTCAATGATTGGTCTTAAACATTAATGTCTACAGGACGAAGCTGGAACTGCTGCTATTAAAACTGTTGAACTAGATGCAGCCCTTGGGAGCCGTGCTGTTCAATATCGTGAAATACAAGGCCATGAGACTGAGAAATTCCTCTCTTATTTCAAACCTTGCATTATACCACAGCAAGGTGGGGTCTCATCTGGTTTCAAACATACTGAAATTAATGAGCAAGAGCACACCACACGATTATTTGTTTGCAGAGGAAAACATGTTGTCCATGTCAAAGAGGCAAGTCATTTGTGTAACTAATCTTATTTGAAATTATGTAGTGGAAGAATCTCACTTAATATTTTTAAGTTTTTTTATCATCAGGTTCCTTTTGCTCGATCATCTCTTAATCATGATGACATATTCATCCTGGATACAAAGTCCAAAATTTTCCAGTTTAATGGATCTAATTCATCTATTCAAGAGAGAGCTAAAGCTCTTGAAGTTGTACAACATCTCAAGGATACTTACCATGAGGGGAAGTCCGAAGTGGCAGCTGTCGGTAAGTTCTCTTTTGAAAGTTCTGATGTGAGGTTTTACTGACAACAAAAGACTTTTTAGTCTTTCTGACTTGTTTCATAATTGATAGAGGATGGGAAGTTGATGGCTGATGCGGAAGCTGGAGAGTTTTGGGGATTGTTTGGTGGCTTTGCTCCTCTTCCACGTAAGGCAGCATCTGAAGAAGATAAAAAATTTGAGCCCTCCTCCACAAAACTGCTATGGTAATTCATTATCAAGGCACATTTCTGGAGTTTCATGTTAACCATAGAATCAACTTGTAACAGAATTACTTGATGCACATCACTGATAGAACCATTTTCCTTTTCAGTGTTGTGAAAGGGCAAGCTTTGCCTGTTGAAGCTGATTCATTGACAAGGGACTTATTAGATACAAATAAATGCTACTTGCTGGATTGTGGAATTGAAGTTTATATATGGATGGGCAGAAACACATCTCTTGAGGAGAGGAAAAATGCAACATCCGCAGCAGAAGTAAATTCATTGCTTTCTTGAGTTTCATCTTTTATTCTCTTGGGCATCATTTGTGTAATCTCACCTGCATACATGTGAAATGAAAGTCTTGACATGATTCCTTTGCATATAGTACGTCCACCTCCTTAAGAAAATCAGGGTCCTTTTGGAAGTTATAAGTGGTGCGTCATACTTTGGCCAATCAGAGGTGAGCAATATTCAACCTTCCATTTGGCCTCCTGTGTTGTGTGGGCACTAAGTCTTGGCCCTGCAAAGGTAGTGGAATCCACCAAGGACAATGGCAGCAGCATTGTGAGGAGCCATTAGGGCCAACCATAGTGAAACCATGGAGGTGGTTTTTAGGTTATATGTCCATATTTGAAAGTCAGGGTGGTTCTTTTGAATGGTTGTGGAGGTGAATCCCTATTGCAGGTTCATCAGAGGTGCTAAAAATGAAGAGAAAGGACCAGTTGCGCTGATTTGATTTTCATGTATCGTTAGTGTGATTTGATCATGGGACAGCCTATTCTATTCACTGTAACTTATCTTTTAGCCTGTTTTCTTGGCCACAAACAACTTGCTTTTTGAAAAATTCCATTTAGAATCTCAAAGGCCTTTTAGAAACTTTAATTTCAATTCATTGTGGGTTCTATATGTTAATGCACATATAGCATACAGGAATTACTACGTGAACCTGCCAGACCACATGCTCATTTTATTCGCATAATCGAGGGTTTTGAGACTGTATCATTTCGCTCCAAGTTTGATAAGTGGACACAGAAAACTGAAGTGGCTGTATCTGAGGATGGAAGGGGCAAAGTTGCAGGTTAGTTGATGACACCCAAACTTTTAAAAATATTTTGGATCTAGATAAAGATCTTGTTGTGCAAGCTATAAGGCTGTTGTTTCCTTCTGTAGCTCTTCTTAGACGCCAAGGACTAAATGTTAAGGGTCTCACAAAAGCTGCTCCTGCGAGAGAAGAACCTCAACCATATATTGACTGCACTGGAAATTTACAGGTGCTGTTATAATTCTTTGTCCTTATTCAGATTTATCTCCATAAAAAGGCTGGTGTCTCTTTGCAGGTTGTGCTTTTAAATGTATCCTAAGCCTATTTTCAAATTAATGCACAGGTTTGGCGTGTAAATGGCAAGGAGAAGACTCTTCTTCCACCATCTGAGCAGTCTAAGTTTTATAGTGGAGATTGCTATATTTTTCAATATACATATCCTGGGGAGGATAAAGAGGAGTATCTTATTGGAACTTGGTTTGGGAAGAAGAGCATTGAGGTAAATTTTGCGAGAAGTTCATTGCACATATTTTTCCAAGTATGTCCTAGAAAATGTTGATGTTGAACATGGGATGTTGTACTTAAGATTAAGATGTTGTACTAGCTAAACTGTTGCTAAAAGAATTAATGTTTTTGTGCAAGAATAGTGATTTTTGCTGGACTAGATATTCATTGTGGCAAAGTTCATTCTTTTATTTGTTTCCAAATTCTTGTAGCATATCTGTATAATTTTTGGTCGTTTATATTATGTATCATCTCATAGGTTATGATTATTCTCCTATGCTGCAGTTTTTGTTTCTTTATTTTTCTCTTTGAAGGTATGCAAATTAAGAGATTTTTGGAAAAGAAACAACAATTTTTGAGATGAAAAGTATAAAAAGGTTATAAGACAATTGCAAGGCGATTTATGCTTTATGGGTTGGAATGCTGTTGTGAAACAGTATATCCAAAATGTTAGTGTCACTAAGATGAAAATGTTGAGATAAATATGTAAAGATATATTAAGATGGATTTTATTTTCATGGAGTGTTAGGAATAATGGATCAATTCAGATTGGTGGTGCAAGGAAGTCAAGAGGAAGATCCGAATATTTTTAGAAGGATCAGTTCAGATTGGTGATGCAAGAAAGTATAGGCGAAGATCCAAATTTCTTGGAAGAATTAAAAGACATTTAAAGTTTCTTACTTTGTCTACTGTGTTACCCTCAATAAAGCTCATTGGTGGAAAAGATTCATGAAGCTGATTCAAAATAGTAGGGGTCTTATGGTGAATGATAATGTGTTTGGTCCTTCTTAAGCAACTAATATAATTCACTGCCTTGTTAATAGGATTATAGATTCTGATGGGCAAGTATCTCTATTGGAAATACATGGTATGGTTGACTATGAGGTTTTCTGTAGCAAATCTTTATAGAGTTTTATCATCCTTTATGAGATGGAGTGATGTAGCAATTTGGTGGTGGGGTTTACGTTATTAGTGTTGTAGAAAATATACTGGGAACATAGGAAATTGGTCATCAATGTAAACAAGACATCAGGGCCTCCAGAGAATATGCTTAGGGTTGATGAGAGGATAATGAACTTGAAAGATGGTAAAAAAGGATGAGGAATGTTCCAAACAAAACAATGGCAAGGGAACAATTACAAAAATATTGAGTAACTAAAGGTAACAAATGAGATTTAGTGGAACGGAAAGGATTCAAACAGAAAGCTGATGCATGGTAGAAAGAGAAATTTTTATAGTCAACGGAAAGGATTCAAGCAGATAAGCTGATGCATGGCAGAAGAGAATATTTTATAGTCACAAAGCCATGAAGGTCATTTCTAGTGCATCTTCTGTTTTCTGAAAACTTGATGCATTCTGGATGTATGAGATTATTGCGATCTGAACTACTCAAAATCTAATAGTTAAAATTTGAATAAATCAATGTGATAGGCATTTATATTCTTTCTTTAAATGTAAAGGTTAATAAGGTCGATTACATTGATTTGGCAATGTTGTTGCATTATTTCATGCTGATTCCTCCATTTCTTGTATTGTGCATGGTTTGACCTGGATGAGTTACTTAAGAACCATAAGTTTATGTCTTAAGTCAGATCAAATACTTCATGGTTGACAAATCATGATGACTGAAATACTTTGTGGCATAACAACATCAGTTAGCTTCTAACTCTTTGTGGCTTATTTAAAAATGGTCTCTTTTCTGATAGCCATTTTGAATTATGCACCTCATCATTTAAACAAGCAACTGGTAATAGTGGAATAGTGAAGAAATCATCAACCACACGTTTTATAGCTCACTAGTATTTGTTGTAATCTGAAGCAACTCTATGCAGGAGGACAGGACTGCAGCTATCTCACTTGCAGGAAAGACGGTTGAATCTCTAAAGTCACAGGCTGTTCAGGTGACTTGTCAGATGCAACTAATGTTGAAATTATGCATATCACTGTTATATTAAATTCAAAAGAGCTAACCATTTCCTGTCTATGTACTCCTAGGCTCGTCTTTATGAAGGAAAAGAACCCATACAATTCTTCTCTATTTTCCAGAGCTTCTTAGCATGCAAGGTTTACTTGCACAGAAATCTTTTCTCTAGGAGCAGACTCTTGCTTTGCAACTGGTTCTTCTTGGTGCACTTTTCCTTTCCAAGTCTGATAACTTTCTTTAAGCTTGTATGCTGAATTCGCAGGGTGGTCTTAGCTCTGGATATAAGAATTTTGTGGCAGAAAACACTATTGCTGATGAGACATACTCAAAGGATGGTGTTGCTCTTTTCCGAGTTCAAGGTTCTGGGCCAGAAAACATGCAAGCGATACAAGTCGAACCTGTATGTTTTGCATAAACTCTGTTTCAATTGCTTTCCTTACTGAAAGAAAGATATTTCATATTATTTATACTCATCCAAGTAATTTCTTTATATATGATAAAGCTTCATGCTCTTTGTTTGATCAGGTAGCGTCATCTTTGAACTCATCTTACTGTTATATACTACATAGTGCTGATACTGTTTTCACATGGTTTGGAAGCCTGGCCACCTCTGTGGACCAAGAGCTAGCTGAGAGATTGCTAGATCTGATTAAGGTTTGTCAAGTTCTGCTTAATATATGTATCGGTCTTGTAACCTTTTTGTGGTAAATTATATGCTTTGTTAGCATATGAATAAATAAAAAATTACTTCTTAATTACCATTGTCTTTATATTTTTATAATCATTTTAAGAATTTGCAGGAAGCTGTAAGTTATGATTTATATATTCAAACCTCCACAAAACTATGATCTGCAATGCCCTTCTTTTTAGATTTAAGTGAGTACATTATTAAAATTCTTGTGAATGCTCTTGATCCTCAAATCTTTATTGGGGTACATCTTGTACCTCGCAGATAACAGTTCAACTGGACATAACTGGAAGCAACCAGTTCAGTTTTTGTTACTTGATTTTGCAGCCAACTAGTACATAATGATTAAATTTTTATCTCTTAAGTTCTCCATCACCCATCTCTTAACCAAACTCTCTTAAGAGTGTGCCACAACAAACCCAAATAACATACTCCTTTTGGAGAACTTGTCTAAAGATCTGAGCCAATCTTCCCCCCTTTCATAGCTGGATTGTTATATAGATGTGGAAACCTGTGATTCTTGTAGTCTTCTGTCGCATGCAAGTTAAATATGTCTTGCCATATGGTTAGCTGTTTATGTCTTGTTTTGTTTTTTGAATTTATGCCCCACTGGCACCATTTATCAGGTTCCTACATGTATCCTGTATTGATTTAGATTTTGTAGGTGTTACATAACTGCTATAAGAACATGCATCTTTTTTCAATTAATTTTGGGAGGTTGATAAATCAAGGAAGCTTCCTATTTGCAAAAGTCGTTTGACTAGAAACATATAAAAAGAAATGTCTTTCATGTGGACCATATGTCTGTAACTATGATCTAGTTGCAACTTGCAACTGAGCTAGTATATGATAATCGTAAGGCATGATATACAACCATCACATGCTGTGGTGCCCAACTGTTTTGGGGCCTTTGGCAATCAGAGCCATGCAGCAGTGTTAATATTTTATAATTTTACATAACAATTCTAGACTAAATTAATTTGATGTTACATTCTAAAACAATCATCAGCTTAAAGGAGTTATTAGAGTTGAATTAATAACCATTTGTTTCATGCACATATCCATGGACCCACGTCCTCTAGCTTATAGCTTATGATGTCTACTAGTAGAAATAACTAAGAGTTGTACATGGAATTTTAATTGCCCATTAAAAATGCTAATATGTACTTAAAACTAATGTCAAAGTAATTTTTATAACTAAGACATCCAAGTTCTTTAAAACATTTTTATTTTTATTTTTGAAACATTGTGTTTGATTAATCGATCAATTTGATATCTGGATCGAGTATGTTTAGGTGATGACATCCACTAAAGTTAGTCTGGTGGTTTATCTAATAAATTGGGTGTTATTAATATATGTCAAATTTCTTGGTAATCATAACTAAGTGTTCTAATATTATTGCTGAAGTACATCAGAAAAGTCATTACACTATGTTCTGGCTTCTTTTTTTTTTTCTTTTTATAGGTTTCTATGGATGCCATATTAATTGAAAATGTTAGTGGAATTTATTTTTACAGAGCGTAAAATGCCTATGGATTGAGTTTAGCCACTTCTCTGAAGATCTGCTTTTATTTATTTTGTTGATTCAGATTTACCTAGGTTCTATGAGTTTATTTGCAAAGGAAGAAGGGAGGATGCTGTTATTATGTATTAACTACTTGTATGTTTTGTCAACGTTTACAGCCAAATATTCAGACAAAGCCACTAAAAGAGGGAACAGAAACTGAACAATTCTGGAGCCTACTGGGAGGCAAATCTGAATATCCCAGTCAGAAAATTGGAAAAGAACAAGAAAGTGATCCCCACCTGTTCTCATGTACTTTCTCAAAAGGTAGGAAGTCAGTGGTACTGTTATCTATCTAATTTCCTTAACTTTCATATAGTTCTTTTGCATGTGTTGCTAAATTTTTATATGTTGTGTGTGTCAAACCAACTTATGATGCTATGTGTGGCAAATTTGAAGGCACTCTGAAGGTGTGTAGTGTGAAGTCTCTGGAAACCTCTTTTACAAATTTTGATCCACTTGTTTACTGTGGTTGTTAAGCTGTCAAATGCATTGTGCTGTCTTTTCAGGTGACAGAGGTTTTTAACTTCACTCAAGATGATTTGATGACGGAGGATATTTTTGTTCTGGACTGTAGTTCAGACATCTTTGTTTGGGTTGGACAACAGGTGGACTCAAAAACCAGATTGCAAGCTTTGAACATTGGAGAGGTATTGAGTACTTGTCTTTTTGCAATTTTTGTTTCTACTACAGTACTACTTGCCTTTTGCGATCATAGTCAACAACCTTTCTTTTTGATCCTCATGTCTGTCTTTGTATATGCCTTTTTAACCAGAAATTTATTGAACAAGATTTTCTTATGCAAAATCTCTCGAGAGAGACTCCATTGTTCATTATTATGGAAGGAAGTGAGCCTACATTCTTCACTCGAATTTTCAACTGGGACTCTGCAAAATCAGCGGTAAGGATTTGGATGTAAAGTTGAATACTTTAAATTACCAACTGATAACCTTTTATTGACATTGTTTTTAACTTGCTTTTGCTGCATCCTCTGGAGGTTTGTATGGCCTGTCAATTAGATATTAGTGGATGTAGCTCAAAAGTCAATTAGGTATATAACAAGCACCTAATGAATCCCCTTTTTCTTTTTTGTTTCAGATGCATGGTAATTCCTTCCAGAGGAAGCTAGCAATCGTGAGAGGTGGAGTAACTCCAACATCAGATGTAAGTCACAAATCCTTTCAGCTGGTAGATTTCTCTGATAGATTACATATGTCAGTGAGTTCTCATTCTTCCAAGGATCCATGGGCTGGTCATGTGACAGCATGGGCACGAAATCATAGGTGTCATGTCCAGCTGTAACTCAAGTTGGTGATAGAACAACTAGAGGTCATAGGAAAATATTCATGTGAATCCTCTCCTTGGTTATAAGGACGATGTCCTAGTTATGCTCTGTTCTTCATTGCTTCATGCTTTTGTTTGGTTGTAGAAGAGAAAATACAATATTCTGAAATGTTGTCTATGAGAACTTGCCAAACTTGTTGCCCTATTCAACAGTGCAAGCTCGCATGATCGCCAACAGGGAGAACTTGTCCTTTTGTTCTTTTCAGCAATGCAAGTTTATTTTGTTGCCTCAACGTGCTTTTAGACTTGGTGGACTGGGGAATAGTTACAACATATCCTTATCCTGAATTCTTTAGCCAAACTCCCCAAGTCTTATTGAGTAAAGAATACAATGCCAGATTCTGCAACTGTAAAGCTACAAGGCTAGATGAAAAAATTTTTGGTATCTTATTATGTCTAAGCTGGTTCTTACTAGTTTCCATGTGTCTTAACCGGTAGTACGATCAAATCTTTCTACTCTTGCAATTTTCTTTTACAATATATTCCTTTACTAATAATACCTCGTCTCTCATGTTCGATTTTCTTTCCTGAAAAAACTTATATGGGAAGTTCCTGATTGGATATTCGTCTCTTGCTCTCAGAAGCCCAAGCGACGAGTGGCACCATCTCATAGTGGGAGATCAGCGGTGCCGGAGAAATCTCAGCGTTCAAGAAGCATGTCTTTCAGCCCTGAACGTGCTCGGGTTAGAGGAAGATCTCCTGCATTTAATGCACTGGCAGCAAACTTTGAGAATCCAAATGCCAGGAATCTCTCAACTCCTCCTCCAGTAGTTAGGAAACTTTATCCGAAATCTGGGTCACCTGATTCTGCAACGGTGGCTGCAAAATCAGCAGCAATTGCCACCCTTTCTTCTTCTTTCGAGCGGCCAAAGGAAGTGATGATACCAAAAGTATCGAAGGGTATGTGATCCTATTTTCTGAAGGGATAGGTTTGTCTTCAAGGAATACACTCTGTGCTGACGTTTTAAACCCTTTGAATTTCTTTTGCTGAAGTGAGCCCTGAGAACATGAAGCCAAAACCAGAAGCGGACACCAAGGAGAGCATGATCGCAATGAGCAATAGAATTGAAACTCTCACCATACAGGAAGATGCAAAGGAGGGTGAAGCTGAAGATGAAGAGGGGCTGTCAATATTCCCCTATGACAGGCTGAAAACTGCATCCACGGATCCTGTTACAGATATTGATGTAACCAAGCGAGAGGTATATCATCCATCCAATCGACTGATGCTTAGCTGGAACTTCCATCAAGGTCTAATTCCTTTATTCCAATCGCAGACTTATTTATCCTCCGTGGAGTTTAAAGAGAAATTCGGCATGACAAAGGAAGCTTTCTACAAACTACCCAAGTGGAAGCAGAACAGACTCAAAATAGCCCTTCAGCTGTTCTAGCACTGCCAAACCCCCAGATCCTGCTGGCAGCCTACTCTAGTACAGTTCAAGTTATGATTTCTCCCATCCGGTTTTTAGTTAGTTCAGGCAAGAACCCCTAGTATTGCAAGGGGACAGTGTCGGTCATCGTATTCTTTTGCTGCTTCGAGTCCGAAATCGCAGTCTCTCCATCAACACAGGTTTAGCAATTTTTCTCTTTTGTTTGAGCCATGTTTTATTGGTCGTGCGGAGTGTTCTTTTCGTCGTCAAAGGTTGTTTTGCTGAGCTTGCATTTTTTTTTTTCGTTTGTTCATTTCTGAATTGTTTCAAAGGTGAGACAGAGGTTGTCCAAAAAAAAAATGATGTCATATGATGTAATCGAACGGCATGAAATGTGTGTACAGTATAGCCTAAACACATTTATGTTTGGAAACCAGTTTGCACCTTGTTTGCTCAATAAAGCCTGATTCTTTTGTGTGTGTAGAGCTTTTTCTTCTCAGTATCTCTTCATTGCTGCTCTTATCTGAGTTCAATCTTATGCATTCTTTCTTACTCGAAAACTTGTGCAGACAAATGTCTCACCTATTGTTTCCTTCTGCTCCTATCGATAGGAGTCGGCAAAAAGATGTACTTCTATTTTCCTTGAAAAAGGTATAATTATTTTCATTCCCCAAACATAATGTTCATGAAAGCAGCTCAAGAACAAGAAGCACAGACAAAGAAGCATATGACAAGAACAAGAAGCAGAAAGGGAAGAAGGAATAGAGAACTGTTGCATGGATTCAGATAATGTCAGTTTCCAGCCCCAGCTTTCTCCTATTCCAACCCACGTACAAGTCCTTGGACTTGAACAAGCCAGGGATGTACCCACTCACTGTGGTGAATGGAAACTGAGCCACTGCCTGTCTCCTCCCCAAGGAAACGACTGCCGGTGCTGCTGCTGCTGCTGATCTCGGCTTGTACACGGCCATCTTCTCCTCCTTCCCTCCTCTCAGCAACAGCTTCATGTTCTTGGCAGCCACCGCAGCGTGCTTGCGTGCTGAGAACCCCTGTTTGATCTCCTGCGCACACAGCAGATTCCACATCAACTAAAGGTCATGGTTGTAATGCACAGATCAAGTGGATGGAAACCACTTACGGGAAGATCAACTACGTCGCCAATGGCGAACACGTTCTTCCGGCCTCTCACCCTCAAGTTCTCGTCCACCTTCAACCTCCCAAACCGATCCAGGTTATCCTTGAGCAGGGTGTGCTGCAGCCATGAGGATCCCAGCGGCCTCCCCGCGCACACGAAGTGACAGTCGGCGGTGATGGTTGCTCCGGCGGAAGTCGTGAATGATTGCTGCCCCTCGGAGATGGCGTCCAGGTCGATGGAGTGGCCCAGGAGCACGTCGACCCCCTTCGACTTCAGCCATCTGAGCGCCTTCTCGGAAGCTTTCGGGCCGAGGATTTGAAGCAGTCTTGGGCCTTCGTGAACGAGCGTCACCTTCTTCTCCGGGTAGTCCGCCGCGATCTCTGCAGAGAGCTCGACGCCGGTTCGGCCTCCTCCGATGACCAGCACGGAGCTGGAAGATCTTATCCTCTTGTTGTCTGAGAGAATCATGAGATGGCATGGTAAGAGGCTTCTGCATGCGTATCTGAAGAGGAAGAAGCAGAAGAAGAATGATCACTGGAATTGCCTTGCTTGAACTGCTCGAGCCTGTCCTTCCTGCTCCTTGGCGTGGAATCCACATGGCCGGTGGCGATGACGAGATAGTCGTATGCAAAGGCGCGACCCTCCGCGGTCAAGACCTCGGACTCGGTGACGTCGATCGCGGGCGACGCCGTGACTCTGGCATTGCTGAGGTAGTCGGTGTGCTGGATCAGCGATCGCTCTGCAAACGGTGGCTCCACCATCGATCTGCTCCTTGCCCAGGGGACCTCGTAGTATTCCTTCCTGGTGTCGAAGGAAGAGAGGGACACATGAGAGAGAGAGAGAGAGAGAGAGAGAGAGAGAGAGAGAGAGAGAGAGT